ACACACACACACACACACTCACACACACACACCACCTTTGGGTCTCTGTTATCTGGCATATCAAACAAACAGCACTGGACAGTTTAAAGTATGTTTACATGTGACATTCTTTCTCTATTGATTCCTTGAAGTGTTGATCAAACAGAGGTTTGACAGAAGAGTGAATACAACTAACACTTCTCATTATGACTCAGTTAACGGTACAGGACAGATGACAATGGGCCTCATGTTTGCATATGGAGCTGGTCGAACATTGTGACTGGACGCTCTCTGACCCACATTGAACTTTGTGGAATTCCAACCACAAACTGAACCACTGTGAATCATTTATAGTGAAGCTTTTATCTTATTCTCACCTCAGAGACGTCTCCATTGTATGTGAAACCTTTCTGGGCCGAGTTCAGGACACAGTGACGTTATTCTTTTATTGTCCTGTCAACAAATCCCATGAAAAGGCCAAAACTGATAATTAATGAATCCCTGTATCCAAACCCTGGTATGTCGTATTTTATATAGATCTGCGTCTCTGAGCTCAACAATCCCATGTGTGTTTTCATGGAATGTTTTCTTTATTTTCTACACACAGCTTTAGTGTAAATGAGCTTTGTAACTCAATGTGTCCGTGAGTAAAGAAGAGGTCATGAATATATCAACGGCAGCTAGAAAACACTCACCAGAGCCACAAACATGTATTAATCCAAAGCTGAACACAATGTACTTATTCAAGTTTGCTATATAATCCAATCCTCACCCAGTGAGGTGTGGAAAGATATGGCTCTTCCACACATTTATGGCTGAAACCTTGGGAACCCGGCTTATTGCTTTATTTTCATATTTGGTATTTTCATAGGTTAGATCACTCTGACATTACTATGGAAAAGTGATGCTGCTTTTATACGCGTCTTGTGTTCGTTGCATGGAAAATGCACTTAAATGCATTTTAATAGGAGTTATAGAACGTGACCTTTCAGTAGCCAGAGACGGCACATTTTGAATCCATCATCGCTCAACCCCACGACTCCACTTCTGGCATTTCTGACATTTCAGCTGCCGCCTGCCAGCTCACAGGAAACAGGCAATAAAACAAACCTGCTTTTCTTAATCTCCCTCCACATTCAGAGAGACAAACTCATCAGTTATCCACCGCTCCATATCAGCACCATATCATACATCTCATCTCAACGCAGTTCATTTAATCAACATTTCAGCCTCGGTTGTGTTGGAGGTTTTGTTCGTTTTGCTCTGGAAACCAGGGCGACGCTGACTTGGACGCTCAACACAGAGTTTGGCGTTTCCTGCAGCGTGACGTGATGTTTTCAGCTGCGTGGAGAAGAAAAGGGGGAAACCTGCCATCAGTGCCTCTGGATGCCAAGTGAAATATTTTGCCAGTGGAATAAAAAACGCTTCTGGCTGGAAAAGTGCTGAATAAATCATATTTTTGATCCTATCTTTGAGAATGGCGATTGTAATTCTCAGGATTATTGCCGTGCTGGTGTCTGTCAGGATGTAAAAGAGGGAACAGAAACCGAATGAAAATGTTCTTTGTGTAACTGAAATAGCAATAAATGATAAAAATCATGTTCATACTGTAACTGTGCCGTTTCATAATGAATCAACACAACATGACATATACACACCATATGATGATGAATGACTGAGGCCTTTTGCAAAGTACA